TTCCAACTGTTGGTACAGAAATGTTCCAACTGTTGATACAGAAATGTTCCAACTGTTGGTACAGAAATGTTCCAACTGTTGGTACAGAAATGTTCCGACTGTTGGTACAGAAATGTTCCGACTGTTGGTACAGAAATGTTCCTACTGTTGGTACAGAAATGTTCCGACTGTTGGTACAGAAATGTTCCAACTGTTGGTACAGAAATGTTCCAACTGTTGGTACAGAAATGTTCCAACTGTTGGTACAGAAATGTTCCAACTGTTGGTACAGAAATGTTCCGACTGTTGGTACAGAAATGTTCCGACTGTTGGTACAGAAATGTTCCAACTGTTGGTACAGAAATGTTCCAACTGTTGGTACAGAAATGTTCCAACTGTTGGTACAGAAATGTTCCAACTGTTGGTACAGAAATGTTCCAACTGTTGGTACAGAAATGTTCCGACTATTGGTACAGAAATGTTCCGACTATTGGTACAGAAATGTTCCGACTGTTGGTACAGAAATGTTCCGACTGTTGGTACAGAAATGTTCCAACTGTTGGTACAGAAATGTTCCAACTGTTGGTACAGAAATGTTCCAACTGTTGGTACAGAAATGTTCCAACTGTTGGTACAGAAATGTTCCAACTGTTGGTACAGAAATGTTCCAACTGTTGGTACAGAAATGTTCCAACTGTTGGTACAGAAATGTTCCAACTGTTGGTACAGAAATGTTCCGACTATTGGTACAGAAATGTTCCGACTATTGGTACAGAAATGTTCCGACTATTGGTACAGAAATGTTCCGACTATTGGTACAGAAACGTTCCGACTATTGGTACAGAAATGTTCCGGCTGTTGGTACAGAAATGTTCCAACTGTTGGTACAGAAATGTTCCAACTGTTGGTACAGAAATGTTCCAACTGTTGGTACAGAAATGTTCCAACTGTTGGTACAGAAATGTTCCAACTGTTGGTACAGAAATGTTCCAACTGTTGGTACAGAAATGTTCCAACTGTTGGTACAGAAATGTTCCAACTGTTGGTACAGAAATGTTCCGACTGTTGGTACAGAAATGTTCCAACTGTTGGTACAGAAATGTTCCGACTGTTGGTACAGAAATGTTCCAACTGTTGGTACAGAAATGTTCCGACTGTTGGTACAGAAATGTTCCGACTGTTGGTACAGAAATGTTCCAACTGTTGGTACAGAAATGTTCCAACTGTTGGTACAGAAATGTTCCAACTGTTGGTACAGAAATGTTCCAACTGTTGGTACAGAAATGTTCCAACTGTTGGTACAGAAATGTTCCAACTGTCGGTACAGAAATGTTCCAACTGTTGGTACAGAAATGTTCCAACTGTTGGTACAGAAATGTTCCAACTGTTGGTACAGAAATGTTCCAACTGTTGGTACAGAAATGTTCCAACTGTTGGTACAGAAATGTTCCAACTGTTGGTACAGAAATGTTCCAACTGTTGGTACAGAAATGTTCCAACTGTTGGTACAGAAATGTTCCAACTGTTGGTACAGAAATGTTCCAACTGTTGGTACAGAAATGTTCCAACTGTTGGTACAGAAATGTTCCGACTGTTGGTACAGAAATGTTCCAACTGTTGGTACAGAAATGTTCCGACTGTTGGTACAGAAATGTTCCAACTGTTGGTACAGAAATGTTCCGACTGTTGGTACAGAAATGTTCCAACTGTTGGTACAGAAATGTTCCGACTGTTGGTACAGAAATGTTCCAACTGTTGGTACAGAAATGTTCCAACTGTTGGTACAGAAATGTTCCAACTGTTGGTACAGAAATGTTCCAACTGTTGGTACAGAAATGTTCCAACTGTTGGTACAGAAATGTTCCAACTGTTGGTACAGAAATGTTCCAACTGTTGGTACAGAAATGTTCCAACTGTTGGTACAGAAATGTTCTAACTGTTGGTACAGAAATGTTCCAACTGTTGGTACAGAAATGTTCCAACTGTTGGTACAGAAATGTTCCAACTGTTGGTACAGAAATGTTCCAACTGTTGGTACAGAAATGTTCCAACTGTTGGTACAGAAATGTTCCAACTGTTGGTACAGAAATGTTCCAACTGTTGGTACAGAAATGTTCCTACTGTTGGTACAGAAATGTTCCAACTGTTGGTACAGAAATGTTCCAACTGTTGGTACAGAAATGTTCCTACTGTTGGTACAGAAATGTTCCTACTGTTGGTACAGAAATGTTCCAACTGTTGGTACAGAAATGTTCCAACTGTTGGTACAGAAATGTTCCAACTGTTGGTACAGAAATGTTCCAACTGTTGGTACAGAAATGTTCCAACTGTTGGTACAGAAATGTTCCAACTGTTGGTACAGAAATGTTCCTACTGTTGGTACAGAAATGTTCCAACTGTTGGTACAGAAATGTTCCTACTGTTGGTACAGAAATGTTCCAACTGTTGGTACAGAAATGTTCCAACTGTTGGTACAGAAATGTTCCTACTGTTGGTACAGAAATGTTCCTACTGTTGGTACATAAATGTTCCAACTGTTGATACAGAAATGTTCCAACTGTTGGTACAGAAATGTTCCGACTGTTGGTACAGAAATATTCCAACTGTTGGTACAGAAATGTTCCGACTGTTGGTACAGAAATGTTCCGACTATCTGGTACCTCTGTGGTCATTGCACCTATGCGGTGGCGACGCTAGGTCGGATGTCACTCGGTACGGTACCTTATGGTGTCACCCCTCACCCAAAAAGAAATTATATATATATATATATATGTATATATATATATACATATATATATATATATATATATATATATATATATATATATATATATATATACATACATATATATATATATATACATATATATATATATATATGTGTGTGTGTGTGTGTGTGTATAATGTTGTACATAGGCCTATATATTGGTCGTATATATAGTTGACATTGGTGACACCCTTTTCCATTTTGCCTAATGTCGTCACTTAAGGCGCACAATCCACCTATTAATTCATGTGCAAAAAGCATCATTTGCATCGAAAAAAAATTTGCTGTCAACCCTCTCTGGTCGATGATTCAAAATAGGGGCCTACTCTACAAAGCCTTTTCTCCTCCGCAAATTTTGCAGTTGGTGTCACCCCCTCCCCCCGCCCGTGATAGTTCTAAGATTTGCTCACTTAATAGTAAAGTTGTTTATCTATATTCAGTTATTTATAGTGGATTGACTCTAATTGATCATTAAATGAACTGTCAAAAAGCATAGTTCTTCTATATGTTTTGTCACCCGGTGCGGTCCGCATCCCCCCCCCCCCCTCTCACGCCTCCCGACACCTCTGCACCTGTGCCCAAAGCCACGCTGAATACAAACAACCTATGTTCAAAGCACTGAACTTGAAATTTAACTTTATGAAATAAAAACTTTAATACAAGAACCAAAATATAGCAACATAATTATAAGAAAAAATCAATACAATTAAAAATACCAAAATTGTAAGTCTACACTTAAAATTTGAAGTAAAATTAAAAGAAATAACGACATTAAAATACTGGAATGAGAAGATAGACCTGTCATTCTAGGAAACAGAAAATATAAAAATATTACAAACTAAAAATAGCAATAAACTTTTTTTTAAAATTGAAATTAATAAAGCGCGGGTTATCTCCCCTAAACTTTCTCGTATATTCTTTCAGTGCAATCTGGCTTTAGTAATATAGAAGTCTGTGACAACACAACTCGTATTTATATTTAGAAAAAAACCTCAAGTGAAAAATTATAAGAATATGCTTATTATGAGAATATGATATAAAATGATCAAATTGTAAAGGTCTTAGAGGAATCGGAAATCAAATGATCAAATTGTAAAGGTCTTAGAGTCCTTAGAGGAATCGGAAACGGAACAAAAAAAAACATTATAAAGTACCAATTTTCCACTTTATTATTCACAGAATAGCATAGCGTGGAAATAAGCATTTGGTTTTTTTTTTGAGAAATCGGAGATAGAGATGTCACCGGAAATCCCTTCAAATTTTTCATCTACCTAACTGAAACTACTCATATTAGGGGTATTTTAGAAACATGGAATACAACGTTCTGTTATCTGAGGTCAATCATAAAATGAAGGTAATCCAAGTATAAGTTCTTATACTTCTATATAAAGTTTTGTCTTTTTAACTGAACCAGTAGCCTACTCAAGTTATCGTGTTCACACGGAAATAAAGTACCACTTCCGGTAGTTGGAAGTCGTCAAAATTTTAACGAAACCTCCGCATACAATGTTATATTTATTATACGTGAAATTACGTCTACCGAACTTAAACGGTTCTCTTAATATTGGCTTTTGAGAAATCGGAAGTAGAGTATGTACCACTTCCGGTTCGTTGATAAAAAACTACAAGTTTAATATAATACTTGTATAAAATTTGATCAACCTAACTGGAACGGTACAAAAGTTATCGTGCTTACATACACAGACAGACAGGATTGAAAAACCAACTTTCTCGTTATAAAACGTCAATATCTCGATTTGAATTTTTGCACGATTACAATGTCAAAATAATCTGTTAATTATTCAGCACAATTACAATACTTCTTCTATGCTCTGTATACGAGAAAGAAAAAAAAACATAATTTCAATCACTGTAATGGTCAGAAAAAGCCACGAATTGATAAAAATCCAATGTTTGTAGGGCATTTTGTAGGTCCAAATGTGCTCATTCGTACTAACATTTTAAACAAATAGTACATTAAAATATATAGATTTATATAACTATCAACATATACTTTTGGATTTCTTCATACACGACATATTTTGCTAGCAATAGGAAATAAGTTGTCATCATTTAGGAGAAAATATGGATTTTATGAGCACCCACCATATTAGGCGTCTGGCTTTTTGTGACGACGTAACAAAATCCATTATAAAAAGCGTAGTGTATGGATGACCCCTGACCCCTTTAAACCCCAATGTAAAATCAAACCAGCAGAAAACGAATGTATGCATGTACAAAGAATAACCAGCCCATTGTTTATGTTTTATTCCTCTGATTCCAACATACATTGATTCAAGCGCCGAACTATCCTGGATACGGACTACTTTTTCTCTTGAGCACGGTTGAGAAACATTTTTTTCTCCGATTACCCAACGTAGCCAGTCAAAAGTCCCTGTTTTTCACAATTATCTTTTTATTTACTCTGCTGGGAAGAGCAGATGTTTGACTGCGTTTATCGTGAGCTCAACATTCTGTTCGTAGCACTGGAAAAATATGTCTGCCAGCTGATTGTAGTTCATGATCCGTAACGCTTCAGTGATTTGGGTCACCGCTCCCAGCTGCTTGTCTTTGCACTGGGTGGAGTGGAAGAAATAGTGATCAAATTAACAGACTTAGTCAATGGATGGAATGGAAGAAATAGTGATCAAATTAACAGACTTAGTCAATGGATGGAATGGAAGAAATAGTGATCAAATTAACAGACTTAGTCAATGGATGGAATGGAAGAAATAGTGATCAAATTAACAGACTTAGTCAATGGATGGAATGGAAGAAATAGTGATCAAATTAACAGACTTAGTCAATGGATGGAATGGAAGAAATGGTGATCAAATTAACAGACTTAGTCAATGGATGGAATGGAAGAAATGGTGATCAAATTAACAGACTTAGTCAATGGATGGAATGGAAGAAATAGTGATCAAATTAACAGACTTAGTCAATGGATGGAATGGAAGAAATGATGATCAAATTAACAGACTTAGTCAATGGATGGAATGGAAGAAATGGTGCTCAAATTAACAAACTCAGTCAATGGATGGAATGGAAGAAATGGTGATCAAATTAACAGACTTAGTCAATGGATGGAATGGAAGAAATGGTGCTCAAATTAACAAACTCAGTCAATGGATGGAATGGAAGAAATGGTGATCAAATTAACAGACTTAGTCAATGGATGGAATGGAAGAAATGGTGCTCAAATTAACAAACTCAGTCAATGGATGGAATGGAAGAAATGGTGCTCAAATTAACAAACTCAGTCAATGGATGGAATAGAAGAAATAGTGATCAAATTAACAGACTTAGTCAATGGATGGAATGGAAGAAATGGTGCTCAAATTAACAAACTCAGTCAATGGATGGAATGGAAGAAATAGTGATCAAATTAACAGACTTAGTCAATGGATGGAATGGAAGAAATGGTGCTCAAATTAACAAACTCAGTCAATGGATGGAATGGAAGAAATAGTGATCAAATTAACAGACTTAGTCAATGCGTGGAATGGAAAAAATGGTGCTCAAATTGGTTGCAATATTTTTGTTGGTATATTTTTGTCGATATGTTTTTGTCATATTTTTGTGTTCGCCTATTTAAAAGACCGCTACATCAACTGTAAGCCATGAAATGTTTTTTTAAAAATGAGGTATCTAATCCTTTTAATCCTAGACGCCACTTACTTTTCTCTTCCAGTAAATTAAAATTTTGTATGTGACGTCAGACATGCTGAGGTTGTTGCTGAGGCCATCAAACCCGATGCCGGTGATGGAGGACTCAGGGATCTTGAGGTGGACGGCCAACGTCAGACCATCATTGACAACCCTGGACAGCGTCATTAGGGACTTGCCGGAGATGGCACGGGACTCTCTGTCAGCTGAGGGGGGGGGGGGGGATAGAAGACATGAGGTGGTTGTAAGCTGGTTGTGACTGGTTGGCACTGGTTGTGACTGGTTGTAAGCTGGTTGTGACTGGTTGTGACTGGTTGTGACTGGTTGTGACTGGTTTTGACTGGTTGTGACTGGTTGTGACTGGTTGTGACTGGTTGTGACTGGTTGTGACTATTTGATGCTTTCATTTGTATTTGTGTACATATATTTTTATACAGCATCAAAGTTTAAAGCACTATTAATAAATACAATACCATTAATGAATACAGCAATATTAATCAATAATCAGTCAACAATGCAGAAGCATTAATTAATTAAGCACAATTAATTCATGCAAAGCCGTTATAAAATACAGCACGATTCATTAATACAGGACAATTAAATAATGCATCACCAATAATATAATAAAACACAATTCATTAACAAAGCAGTACCATTAATTGATAGCATCAGGCACTAAAACTGCACAATAAATTAATACAGAATAATTCATTAATTAACCATCATTAAAGTAATTACTACATTTTACGCCAACTATGAAGGTCACAGCTCAATGTGAAAATCCTTCCAGTGACAGCTCCAAATTGTAGCTAGAATTGGAAATACTTTTTACGCTAGCAGATCTGTTTTAAATTCGTTTAAATACTTTTCCGTTGGAAGACAATATGATACATGCATAGTTAGGGGAAACGTAACAACATGAAATAATCTGGAAAATGAGAAATATTTTTTTTAAATTTTCAACACCAAAAGTAGAAAAATTAAAGAAATTATTTTTTTTTTAAATTTGTATCTGATAAAAGCGTTGTTCAAAACGTAGCGAAACCAAAATTTGGCGAAACGCATAAAACCAAGAAAATAAGGTGGTGACAACAGCAAGAAAATAGGAAGGTGACAACAGCAAGAAAATAGGAAGGTGACAACAGCTAGAAAATCGGAAGGTGACAACAGCAAGAAAATAGGAAGGTGACAACAGCAAGAAAATAGGAAGGTGACAACAGCAAGAAAATAAAGTGGTGACAACAGCAAGAAAATAGGAAGGTGACAACAGCAAGAAAATAAGGTGGTGACAACAGCAAGAAAATAGGAAGGTGACAACAGCAAGAAAATAGGAAGGTGACAACAGCAAGAAAATAAAGTAGTGACAACAGCAAGAAAATAAAGTGGCTACAACAGCAAGAAAATAAAGTGGCTACAACAGCAAGAAAATAAAGTGGTGACAACAGCAAGAAAATAAAGTGGTGACAACAGCAAGAAAATAAAGTGGTGACAACAGTGTGGTAGATTGGAAACACTGACGACAGAAACCATGCTGTTTATATATAGAACTTTATTGGGCCTTCGCTAACATGATGGAAACCGGAACAGGAAGTAACGATAGATAAATACAAGGGACATCACTCAATAACAACATTATAAATATAACTAATACAAGAAGAGTGAGTTCCCTTGACTTCACAAATCTCAATATATTACAAACAGCAAGAAAATAAAGTGGTGACAACGGCAAGAAAATAAAGTGGTGACAACAGAAAAAAAAAATCAACAATGTTTATCGTGACAACGGCAAGAAAATTAAAGTGGCGACAACGGCAAGAAAATAAAGTGGTGACAACAGCAAGAAAATAAAGTGGTAACAACAGCAAGAAAATAAAGTGGTGACTATGGCAAGAACCTCTTAGCTGGGCAGATGTTACTTTCTGTCGTTCATATATCGGTACAATAAGCTGCTTTTGAACTTTGACATTGCGATCTGATGGATAAAAACAGAAGGATTTTATCGTGACATTTGTCCATCTGATGGATAAAAAAAACAGAAAAAAATTATCGTGACAAGTCGATCAGATGGATAAAAACAGAAGGATTTTATCATGACAAGTCGATCAGATGGATAAAAACAGGAGGAGTTTATCGTGACAAGTCGATCAGATGGATAAAAACAGAAGGATTTTATTGTGACAAGTCGATCAGATGGATAAAAACAGAAGGATTTTATTGTGACAAGTCGATCAGATGGATAAAAACAGAAGGATTTTATCGTGACAAGTCGATCAGATGGATAAAAACAGAAGGAATTTATCGTGAGATTTGACTAGGTAAGACTGGTGATTAGGTTTTAAAATGATAACAAAGTAAGACATCTTTGATTAAATTTAAAGTCGGAAACAAACTGGATATCTTTGATAAGATTTTATGTCGAATACAATATCTAGATCAAACGTAATCTGTTTTTTTCCGTGACAGGCCGAGAAGTCTAATCAAACATAGGATATCATTAAATATATAAGCCAAATCATTCTTTGACATAAAGTCAATAAAACAGACACCCTAACATTGTATGTATGTCATTCAGTGTTGTCAAAAAAAACCAATTAAACATAGACTTGATTAAGCCTAATAACTATTTTAACACAGAGAGGGAGAGAGAGAGCGAGAGAGAGAGAGAGAGAGAGAGAGCGAGAGAGAGAGAGAGAGAGAGTCGTAAACTCGTTCACTCACCAAACCCACCCTTAATATCAACTCTAACAGAACATAAACCTTATGCTAACATTACAAGCAACAAACCAAACAGTGACTATCAAATCCACCCTTGCCTAATGCATTGCGTAACTCTAACACTAACATAGTAGTCAACCAAACAACATTATTGTACCGTCATCCACATTTCCTTCATTTTCATCATCATCTTCCTCGTCGATCAACGTGAGTAGATCGAAGTCAATAGCTTGGAGAGCTAGAAGACGGAGGATGAAAACACAATTGGGTTAGCCGTACCCTCGAACCACTAGTACCACTGATGATGACAGTCGGATATTAATCCCGACCCTAGTGGGCGATGGCGTAGCTAGGAGGGGCGGGATGGGAGGATGTCCTGGGCTCCGACCCTAGGGGCGCCAAAAGGGGTGGAAAAACAATGCAAAAGCTCATTTCAAGCTACAGTTTTGAATTATACGCAGGGAAAATAAACGGCTACAAACCGATTGAACTGTTGTGTAACCGTAAAATAAATACCTTGGTGACCAGCAAAAACCGTTCTCAAAACTTTTCTTAAGATTAGGGATGGGAGGGGGTTGGGGCTCTTTGTCACCATCACAAATCAGGAGGATCTGGTATTTGTATTAGATATAGAACATCCCCGGTCAACAGATCTAGAACATCCCCGGTCAACCGATCTAGAACATCGCCGGTCAGCAGATCTAGAACATCCCAGGTCAACAGATCTAGAACATCCCCGGTCAGCAGATCCAGAACATCCCAGGTCAACAGATCTAGAACATCCCAGGTCAACAGATCTATAACATCCCCGGTCAGCAGATCTAGAACTTCCCAGGTCAACAGATCTAGAACATCCCAGATCAACAGATCTAGAACATCCCAGATCAGCAGATCTAAAACATCCCAGGTCAACAGATCTAGAACATCCCATGTCAGCAGATCTAGAACATCCCAGGTCAACAGATCTAAAACATCCCATGTCAGCAGATCTAGAACATCCCAGGTCAGCAGATCTAGAACATCCCAGATCAACAGATCTAGAACATCCCAGGTCAATAGATCTAGAACATTCCAGATCAACAGATCTAGAACATCCCCGGTCAGCAGATCTAGAACATCCCCGGTCAGCAGATCCAGAACATCCCAGGTCAACAGATCTAGAACATCCCAGGTCAACAGATCTATAACATCCCCGGTCAGCAGATCTAGAACTTCCCAGGTCAACAGATCTAGAACATCCCCGGTCAGCAGATCTAGAACATCCCCGGTCAACAGATCTAGAACATCCCAGATCAACAGATCTAGAACATCCCCGGTCAGCAATCTAGAACATCCCAGATCAACAGATCTAGAACATCCCCGGTCAGCAGATCTAGAACATCCCAGATCAACAGATCTAGAACATCCCCGGTCAGCAGATCTAGAACATCCCAGATCAACAGATCTAGAACATCCCCGGTCAGCAGATCTAGAACATCCCAGATCAACAGATCTAGAACATCCCCGGTCAGCAGATCTAGAACATCCCAGATCAACATATCTAGAACATCCCCGGTCAGCAGATCTAGAAAATCCCAGATCAACAGATCTAGAACATCCCCGGTCAGCAGATCTAGAACATCCCAGATCAACAGATCTAGAACATCCCAGGTCAGCAGATCTAGAACATCCCAGATCAACAGATCTAGAACATCCCAGATCAACAGATCTAGAACATCCCAGGTCAACAGATCTAGAACATCCCAGATCAACAGATCTAGAACATCCCCGGTCAGCAGATCTAGAACATCCCAGATCAACAGATCTAGAACATCCCCGGTCAGCAGATCTAGAACATCCCAGATCAACAGATCTAGAACATCCCCGGTCAGCAGATCTAGAACATCCCAGATCAACAGATCTAGAACATCCCCGGTCAGCAGATCTAGAACATCCCAGATCAACAGATCTAGAACATCCCCGGTCAGCAGATCTAGAACATCCCAGATCAACAGATCTAGAACATCCCCGGTCAGCAGATCTAGAACATCCCAGATCAACAGATCTAGAACATCCCAGGTCAGCAGATCTAGAACATCCCAGATCAACAGATCTAGAACATCCCAGATCAACAGATCTAGAACATCCCCGGTCAGCAGATCTAGAACATCCCAGATCAACAGATCTAGAACATCCCAGGTCAACAGATCTAGAACATTTCAGATCAACAGATCTGGAACATCCCAGATCAACAGATCTAGAACATCCCCAGTCAGCAGATCTAGAACATCCCAGATCAACAGATCTAGAACATCCCAGGTCAACAGATCTAGAACATCCCAGATCAACAGATCTAGAACATCCCAGATCAACAGATCTAGAACATCCCAGGTCAACAGATCTAGAACATCCCAGATCAACAGATCAAGAACATCCAATGTCAACAGATCTATAACATCCCATGTCAGCAGATCTAGAACATCCCATGTCAGCAGATCTAGAACATCCCAGATCAACAGATCTAGAACATCCCAGGTCAACAGATCTAGAACATCCCAGATCAACAGATCTAGAACATCCCAGGTCAACAGATCTAGAACATCCAATGTCAACAGATCTATAACATCCCATGTCAGCAGATCTAGAACATCCCCGGTCAGCAGATCTAGAACATCCCAGGTCAGCAGATCTAGAACATCCCAGATCAACAGATCTAGAACATCCCAGGTCAGCAGATCTAGAACATCCCAGACCAACAGATCTAGAACATCCCAGGTCAACAGATCTAGAACATCCCAGATCAGCAGATCTAAAACATCCCAGATCAATAGATCTAGAACATCCCAGATCAATAGATCTAGAACATCCCAGGTCAACAGATCTAGAACATCCCAGGTCAGCAGATCTAGAACATTCCAGGTTAGCAGATCTAGAACATCCCAGGTCAACAGATCTAGAACATCCCAGGTCAATAGATCTAGAACATCCCAGGTCAATAGATCTAGAACATCCCAGGTCAATAGATCTAGAAAATCCCAGATCAACAGATCTAGAACATCCCAGATCAGCAGATTTAGAAGTCAATCGTATTAAAACTAGTGTACAGCGATTTAAACTAAAGTAAAATAATATCAGCAACTTTAAATTATTTACATCCAACAAACCGGTAATCCAACAAACTGGTAAACCAACAAACTGGTAATCGAACAAACTGGTAATCGAACAAACTGGTAATCCAACTAACTGGTAATCCAACAAACTGGTAATGCAACAAACCAGTTATCCAACAAACTGGTAATCAAACAAACTGGTAATCCAACAAACTGGTAATCCAACAAACTGGTAATCCAACAAACTGGTAATCCAACAAACTGGTAATCGAACAAACTGGTAATCAAACAAACTGGTAATCCAACAAACTGGTAATCCAACAAACTGGTAATCCAACAAACTGGTAATCCAACAAACTGGTAATCAAACAAACTGGTAATCCAACAAACTGGTAATCCAACAAACTGGTAATCAAACAAACTGGTAATCCAACAAACTGGTAATCCAACAAACTGGTAATCCAACAAACTGGTAATCCAACAAACTGGTAATCGAACAAACTGGTAATCAAACAAACTGGTAATCCAACAAACTGGTAATCCAACAAACTGGTAATCAAACAAACTGGTAATCCAACAAACTGGTAATCCAACAAACTGGTAATCCAACAAACTGGTAATCAAACAAACTGGTAATCAAACAAACTGGTAATCCAACAAACTGGTCAGCAAACAACCTAACAGAAAAGACAATAAATTTTCTACCTTCTGGAGACTCATATAGAAGATGTAAAAACGTGCGAAACTCTTGAAAGGCTAGTTAGAAGATAAAGGGGTTTCAATTTCATAAAATGTTGACAGAGGAATGGGGATAATAATGTTGAAGTTTGTGGTGATGATAGTGTTTTTGTGGGGTAGTTTGTGTGTGGTTGTGTGTTTGGTTGTATTATATGTGGTATTGTGTATGTGTGGTATGTGGCTGTGTGTGTTTGTATTGTATGTGATGTTGTGCATGTGTGTGGTGTGTGGCTATGTGTGTTTGTATTGTGTGTGATGGTGTGTATGTGTGTGTTGTGTGGCGGGCCGGTGGGGATGATGTAAGGTGGGATGGTGTTCAAAAGTCAACACAATTGGCACATTTGAAATCAGAAAACCTCAACACAACCTAAAGAAACCAACGATAAAACATCTACAGCTAAAACCTCAACACAACATAAAGAAACCAACGATAAAACATCTACAGTTAAAACCTCAACACAACCTAAAGAAACCAACGACAAAACATCTACAGCTAAAACCTCAACACAACCTAAAGAAACCAACGATAAAACATCTACAGCTAAAACCTCAACACAACCTAAAGAAACCAACGACAAAACATCTACAGCTAAAACCTCAACACAACCTAAAGAAACCAACGATAAAACATCTACAGCTAAAACCTCAACACAACCTAAAGAAACCAACGATAAAACATCTACAGCTAAAACCTCAACACTACCTAAAGAAATCAACGATAAAAACATCTACAGTTAAAACCTCAACACAACCTAAAGAAACCAACGATAAAAACATCTACAGCTAAAACCTCAACACAACATAAAGAAACCAACGATAAAACATCTACAGTTAAAACCTCAACACAACCTAAAGAAACCAACGACAAAACATCTACAGCTAAAACCTCAACACAACCTAAAGAAACCAACGATAAAACATCTACAGCTAAAATGTCAACACAACCTAAAGAAACCAACGATAAAACATCTACAGCTAAAACCTCAACACAACCTAAAGAAACCAACGATAAAAACATCTACAGCTAAAACCTCAACACAACCTAAAGAAACCAACGATAAAACATCTACAGCTAAAACCTCAACACAACCTAAAGCAACCAACGATAAAATATCTACAGCTAAAACCTCAACACAACCTAAAGAAACCAATGATAAAATATCTACAGCTAAAACCTCAACACAACCTAAAGAAACCAACGATAAAAACATCTACAGCTAAAACCTCAACACAACCTAAAGAAACCAACGATAAAACATCTACAGCTAAAACCTCAACACAACCTAAAGCAACCAACGATAAAATATCTACAGCTAAAACCTCAACACAACCTAAAGAAACCAATGATAAAATATCTACAGCTAAAACCTCAACACAACCTAAAGAAACCAACGATAAAACATCTACAGCTAAAATGTCAACACAACCTAAAGAAACCAACGATAAAAACATCTACAGTTAAAATCTCAACACAACCTAAAGAAACCAACGATAAAAACATCTACAGCTAAAACCTCAACACAACCTAAAGAAACCAACGATAAAACATCTACAGCTAAAACCTCAACACAACCTAAAGAAACCAACGATCAAATATCTACAGCTAAAACCTCAACACAACCTAAAGAAACCAATGATAGAACATCTACACCTAAAACCTCAACACAACCTAAAGAAACCAACGATAAAAACATCTACAGCTAAAACCTCAACACAACCTAAAGAAACCATCGATAAAACATCTACAGTTAAAACCTCAACACAACCTAAAGAAACCAACGACAAAACATCTACAGCTAAAACCTCAACACAACCTAAAGAAACCAACGATAAAACATCTACAGCTAAAACCTCAACACAACCTAAAGAAACCAACGATAAAACATCTACAGATAAAACCTCAACACAACCTAAAGAAACCAACGATAAAACATCTACAGCTAAAACCTCAACACAACCTAAAGAAACCAACGATAAAAACATCTACAGCTAAAACCTCAACACAACCTAAAGAAACCAACGATAAAAACATCTACAGCTAAAACCTCAACACAACCTAAAGAAACCAACGATAAAACATCTACAGCTAAAACCTCAACACAACATAAAGAAACCAACGATAAAACATCTACAGCTAAAACCTCAACACAACCTAAAGAAACCAACGATAAAACATCTACAGCTAAAACCTCAACACAACCTAAAAAAAACCAACGATAAAACATCTACAGCTAAAACCTCAACACAACATAAAGAAACCAACGATAAAATATCTACAGCTAAAACCTCAACACAACCTAAAGAAACCAACGATAAAACATCTACAGCTAAAACCTCAACACAACCTAAAGAAACCAACGATAAAACACCTACAGCTAAAACCTCAACACAACCTAAAGAAACCAACGATAAAACATCTACAGCTAAAACCTCAACACAACCTAAAGAAACCAACGATAAAATATCTACAGCTAAAACCTCAACACAACCTAAAGAAACCAACGATAAAACATCTACAGTTAAAACCTCAACACAACATAAAGAAACCAACGATAAAAACATCTACAGCTAAAACCTCAACACAACCTAAAGAAACCAACGATAAAAACATCTACAGCTAAAACCTCAACACAACCTAAAGAAACCAACGATAAAATATCTACAGCTAAAACCTCAACACAACCTAAAGAAACCAACGATAAAACATCTACAGCTAAAACCTCAACACAACCTAAAGAAACCAATGATAAAAACATCTACAGCTAAAACCTCAACACAACCTAAAGAAACCAACGATAAAACATCTACAGCTAAAACCTCAACACAACCTAAAGAAACCAACGATAAAAACATCTACAGCTAAAACCTCAACACAACCTAAAGAAACCAATGATAAAAACATCTACAGCTAAAACCTCAACACAACCTAAAGAAACCAATGATAAAAACATCTACAGCTAAAACCTCAACACAACCTAAAGAAACCAACGATAAAAACATCTACAGCTAAAACCTCAACACAACCTAAAGAAACCAACGATAAAAACATCTACAGCTAAAACCTCAACACAACCTAAAGAAACCAACGATAAAACATCTATAGCTACCATCTTCGCCTGATTCTGTCGATGCAATTTTTAAAAAATTACTTCAGTATTGGTAGGTTGTTTATTTAAAACAGTCAGTGGCGTAGGCAGGGGGGGGGGTGGTTAGAGGGGGCCATGGACCCCCAAAATGACTACTTTTATTACGTTAAGCTACAGCTATTGACTTGTGTCGATATTATTTAGGGTTTAAACACTAAACACTTAAGCCTGTAGAACACGGGTTCCCAACCTGGGGGTCGCGACCCCCCTGGGGGTCGCGAAGGTCTTTCTGGGGGGTCGCCAACTGGTATACTAAACCTTAGTAATTTGAAACAAAACATAAATATTTAGAAGATTTTTTAAAATTCGGCTTCATTAACATCACTGGAAATGTAATAGAGAAGAAACAAAGCGCACTGTACAAAGTTGTTCTCAGTCACGAATCTATGAAATCTTCAAAACTAAAACTCCATTTGAGACGAGTCATTCGGAACACACCAAAAACATATGGAGTTCTTTCGTCGGCAAGAAGCTAGTTGCAAACGCCAGAGACTTGATCGAACTGGAAGTTTTCACCAACATTAGTGCAAGCATCAAATGAAGTCGCGATAGAAAATGCCAAGCAAAAAAAAAACAATAAGGGAAAATCTCATCAAACGCTGCATGTACGTAAATGTTTTTTTATCGAAATCAAGCTTTCACCATTGTTTGCTTTTCAAGTTGATAAATCAACAGACGTGAGTTCGTGTTCGCAGTTGCTGGTCTATGTCTATATTCATGCGGATGATAGCAAAGAAGAGTTGCTCTTTTGTGAAGATAGCATTGAGAAAATAAATACCATTTTTGAAACTGGATGGTTAAAATGGGTTAGAACGGCTATGTGGGTTTGTACGGATGGTGCGCCATCTATGTTTAGCTCAAAATCGGGCTTTCAGAAAGCAGAAAAGATTTAGCTCCCTAACCACTGCCCTAACCAATCGACACCAATAGTCCATTGCTAGTATAAGTCGTAAATTATATAAAATCTGGAGCCTTCAAAGAACTGAGCAAAAACATTGATATAGATCACGAGGTTCTGCTCTTCTACACTGCAGTACGCTGGCTGTCAAACGAAATCTGAAATCAAATTGTTCTTGGAAGTGCAAAGGAAACAAGACTTTTTGGTATACTTAAAACGACATAGAGTGATTGGAGAGAGTTTCATACCTAGCAGATGTGTTCGAACATCAAGATAAGCTTAACCTGAAGCTTATGGGAAAATGAACGAATATTATAACTTTCCATGATAATCTCGGGGCATTTTTATCAAAGCTGTAAAATCGGTAAAGAAAATAAATCTTGGAAATATTGTAAATTTGAGAAACTCTGCGGTGTGGTAGATGAATCTGATTGTGAGATAATTAAAATTTTGAAAGAAGCGATTTCTGGGCATCTTGAATCTCTTGAAAACGAACTGCATCGCTATTTCTCTGAGCTGAAAAAAGAAGAATCTACATTGACGCATTACCCATTCTCTTCTTCCCTTGATGTTGCCAGCATTCCAGATGAATTACAAGATTATTATTATCTGATTTACAGAATGATTCCGCGTAAAATGAAAAACTGTATACACAATTTCGGTGTAGTATTCACCATTCATAACCAAACGTAAAATTGATTGACTTTTCGAGAATATATTTTCAACACTATTCTTTGATTAAAAACAAAATTAAGATAATTATAATGACATAGGTTGGCGTTAACAAAAATGGTTGTTAATTAAAAACTTAAGCACGAAGGTTTAGTGAATAGTATGCAATTTTACTCCTGCTTTTAAAATAGTTATCAAGAGTAGTTCATATTGAAAGTCTAATAGAAAATCTTATTTTAGTGCTTATTAATTTTCATACTAATTTCGGCTTTTTAATTCTATGGGGGTCGCGGGTCACTTAATTTTTTATAAAAGGGGGTCGCCACTCGAAAAAGGTTGGGAACCACTGCTGTAGAACAACAATGTATATCATTGTGATGAGAATTGCCTGTAGAATTTAGTTATGAATTTTATTATCGCGCTAATGTAATGTATAATAATCTTGAACCCAGTAGGCCAAGGGAAAGTTGGCCAAGCTTAGATCAGTTAAGGAGTGTCGAAAGGGAGGGGTGGGCTACGTGGGTAGGCCTTTGTTGTCTAATATAATTGTAGTGCAACCGGAAAGCGTCTAGAAATGAAAAACAAACAAAGGAATCGATTATTATTCGCATTGAGGTTCTATAATGTGTATGTTTTAACTACTTCAAAACATTTGAAATTCATTTCACCGATGGCGGATGAAACAAGGAAACTGAAAACTACTTAATTTTTAAAAAGATAAGTAAACTGAAAATGATAAAGATGGCAGAGGGAGGAGTAGGCAGGGGTGAGGGTGGAAGGGGGGGGGGGGTTAAGACCTTCAAAATGATAATCCTTTATGTTAAGTTACAGCTATTGACGACGATGGACTTGTGTCGCTATCATTTAGTGCTTAAGCAACAAACACTCAGGGTCGCAATAGGCGAAGGGAAAGCTGAACAAGGTTATCAGTTAAGGGGTGTAAAAGGAGGTGAGGGTGGGATGAGTATTGGTATGTGTCAATTATAAAATACTACCGGATCCACATCTGGCAGGAAAGCGTGGGCTTGACCCACAAATTTTGACACAAAACTTCGTGTTGGTAGATAGAAAAACTGCGTATTTGGTTATTAAATATAGATGGAGAGCCAGGAACCTACACTACAGTAGTCAATTTAGACAGTCAAAAAAGAAGACCAATAATAATTTATTTTCTTATTCGCATAGTCGTGTTTTAATGTGTATCTTTTAACTACTTCAAGCAATTTAAATTCATTTTAATAATGGCGGAAGGAAAAAGGAAATTAAAAACTACTTTATTAACTTTACAAAGAAAAGTAAAACTGAAAATGATAAAAATGAAGATGGTACTATTGCTTCTCAAAGTACATTACATGAAGAAATTTCCATAAATTCAGCACCTTCGACTGTTTCTTACGCAAATGATATCAGCAATTTTATCAAAGGAGTTGTTACAGACGATACACGGTTGTATTTATTAGAAAACATCTGGCGTCCTGATGAACTTTTTAAATTTCCAGCAAGCGGACAAAGAAATTTAAAGTTTCAATATTTGTGGCTACTTAGGTGGAACTGGTTGACTTATTCCAAATTACTTGATGGCGCATTTTGCAAATATTGTGTTTTGTTTAGTTTGAATAATAGTGGTGTAGGTAGTCAGCCTTTGGATAAGCTATCAAAAATTTCATCAAACTGGAAAAAGGCAACAGACAAGTTTAATGAGCACCAGCAATGTGAGTATCATAAAAGAGCAATTTTACTTTCCCAAAATCATAATTCGGTGACGGAGAAAAAATTAAACTTATTAAAATCTCCTTAAATTTATTATAAGTCAAAAAAATTCTAGAAAATCGTTTAAGATTAGCGCCCATAATAGAATCTATAATTTTTTTTGCGGCCGACAAGGTATTGCACTTAGGGGGCACAGGGATTTCGGAAGTTTTTATTTGGAGAAATCTGATGAAAATGATGGAAATTTGATTTTTATATTTCCTACGATAGTGTACATGTGTTACTTGTTACAGAACAATAGCTAATACTAAGATAAGTTAGTCGATGGCACCCACGAGTTTCTATTGTCACCAGCCACCAATACTTTACACGCTAGCACTTACACATACATATGTACACACACACACACATATATATATATATATATGAAAGTTTTGACAACCCCCCCCCCCCCATGAGACGATCCTGGCTACGCCACTGAATACAGTTTGAACTAAATGGTCGATATTATTTATTAACAGCTTCCCACAACCCTTTCAAAAATTAAGAAAATCTACAAAAATTAAGAAAACTTTACAAAAATTAAGAAAACTCTACAAAAATCAACATTACTCTGCAAAAGTTAACAAAACTCTACGCAAGTTAACAAAACTCTACACAAATTAATAAAATAGAAAAATGAAGAAAACTACAAAATTCAATAAGTACCCTCTGAACTGTCCATGGCGAGAGTGTGGAATTTTTCGAACGCCTCCAGCACTGGTGACAAGAAATGTGTTTTAAAAGCGTGAAATTTTTTACAATCAGATTATAATTTTAAAAACGTGAAACTTTTTACAATCAGATAATAATTTTAAAAGCGTGAAACTTTTTACAATCTATAATAATAGTTTCGCTGTCTGTGTATGTATCTATCTATCTGACAAGAACGCTCTGTCTGACAAGAACGCTCTAGAGAAAACATAAGAAAAAATTCAATCTCACAAGAACGCTCTAGAGAAAACACAAGCAATTTAAAAACATGCATAGTATTTCGAAAGACGAAGTATGACGTCGACACATTTAGCATGTAGTTGAAAATAATCTCAAGGCGGAAAGTGCACACAGTAATATAATGACGTCATTGATTATCGCGTAAACATTGAATACAAAGGAAATGTTGTCTAATCTAAATGGTTTGCGTGAAGAGTTTCTTGCATACAATTCTTCGGGTAGGGGCGAAGCCCCACCCCCGCGTAAGAACGTCTGAGCCCCCCCCCCCCCTAACTCAAAAGAAATTTCTTCATCGATACTCTATAATAAAATTACCGCCTAATTAATGTGTCTAATCTAAAAAGTGGTTTTCTTGCAATTTCTTTAATGCAATTCTTCGGGTAGTGACTAAGCGCGACACCAGTGTTTCTTTCAGACTTTTTCCTCCCCGGAGAGGGGTGGGGGTAATTGAAATTTTCGGGGGCGGGGGTAGAATTTTCGGGAAGGGGGGCGGACACTGGAAAAAGTATATAATTATATTTCGTTGAATGGGACGGTAGACATGATTGTTTTGGGAGTGGGGGGTGGGGGGGGGGGGGGGTGGGGGATGGTGTGTGTGGGGGGGGGGGGGGGTGGGGTGGGGTGGTTTCCTCATCTATACTCTATAATAAAATTACCGCCTAATTAATGTGTCTAATCTAAAAAGTGGTTTTCTCGCAATTTCTTTAATGCAATTCTTCGCGTAGTGGCTAAGCGCGACACCAGTGTTTCTTTCAGACTTTTTCCTCCCCGGAGAGGGGTGGGGGGTACTTGAAATTTTCGGGGGCGGGGGTAGAATTTTCGGGGAGGGGGCGGACACTGGAAAAAGTATATAATTATATTTCGTTGAATGGGACGGTAGACATGTTTTTTTGGGGGTGGGGGTGGGGGGTGGGGTTGGGGGGGGGGGTGGTGTGTGGGGTGGGTGGGGGTGGGAGGTGGGGGGGGGTGGGTTGGTTTTAGTTTGGGGTGGGGGTGGGGGGTTGGGGTTGTGGGGGTGGTGTGTGGGGTGGATGGGGGTGGGAGGGGTGGGGGTGGGGGGTGGTGTGTGTGGGGGGGGGGTGGGTTGGTTTTAGTTTAGAGAAAAGAGACAGCACTATCAACCTAGCGCCCGGTGTATCCTTCCTCAACGGGCCATTTTTCTCGTTAATACTAATAGTTTCGCTGTCTGTCTATCTGACAAGAACGCTCTAGAGAAAACACAAGCACTGTCTGTCTATCTGACAAGAACGCTCTAGAGAAAACACTAGCAAATTAAAAACATGCATAGTAATTCGAAAAACGAAGTATGACGTCGTCACATTTAGCACAGAGTAGAAAATAATCTCAAGCCGGAGAGTGCACACAGTAATATGACGTCATTGATTCTCGAGTAAACATTGAATAAAAAGGAAATTTTGTCTAATCTAAGTGGTTTGCGTGAAGAGTTTCTTTCATACAATTCTTCGGGTAGGGGCGAAGCCCCACCCCCGCGTAAGAACGTCTGAGCCCCCCCCCCCCCCCTCCCTAACTCAAAAGAAATTTCTTCATCGATACTCTATAATAAAATTACCGCCTAATTAATGTGTCTAATCTAAAAAGTGGTTTTCTTGCAATTTCTTTAATGCAATTCTTCGGGTAGTGGCTAAGCGCGACACCAGTGTTTCTTTCAGACTTTTTCCTCCCCGGAGAGGGGTGGGGGGTACTTGAAATTTTCGGGGGCGGGGGTAGAATTTTCGGGGAGGGGGCGGACACTGGAAAAAGTATATAATTATATTTCGTTGAATGGGACGGTAGACATGTTTTTGGGGGGGGGGGGTGGGGGTGGGGTGGGGGTGGGTGGGGTGGGGGGGGGGATGGGGTGGTTTTAGTTTAGAGAAAAGAGACAGCACTATCAGCCTAGCGCCCGTTGTATCCTTCCTCAACGGGCCATTTTTCTCGTCAGATAATAGTTTTAAAAGCGTGAAACTTTTTACAATCAGATAATAGTTTTAAAAGCGTGAAACTTTTTACAATCAGATAATAATCTTGGAAAATCATGGAAAAATGAAAACAGAGATCTTAGCCTTTGAAACATTGTGTTTTACTTGAAACGTGTTAAGATACTAGATGCAACTCTATCGTTCTGGATAGGTAGCTTGTTAATAACAGTATATTGAACCGAATAAAGACCTAAAACTGAACGCAACAAGTAGAAGAGTTAAACAACAGTAAATATTCAAGCAACAAGTGAAACAACTCAAAGAATTTGATACCGTCACGTTCGGCGTCCTTGTACGTAGTGAAGTCCGTAATTTTCATCGCTTTAAGTGCCAGGAGAGGGGAGCATGGGGAAAATGTAAGGAGAAATATTTGAATGACTCTCAGCTTTGTGTATATATATTGTTTGTGAGTAAATATTGTGTGGATACATGTTGTATATCAGTACACATTTTGTGTGAGTAGAATTGTGTGTGAAAGAGCATTTTGTGTAGGTAAGTATATTTTGTGTGAAGAAATATCTAGGGAAGTTGATTGGTGTATAGACAGGTAGTTGATTGTGTGTATGAGGTCCAGGTTTATCCAAATGTGAACCGTTAACAATAAAACGTTATTTTGGCCTCTGGTGGTGGCTAAACCAGCCTCGTCAACAATAGCGAGAGGTGGCCAGGTAAAATGACAGAGAAGAAAGCTAAAATAGTACCGTCTGGGTTCTTTATGGATAAAGTGCGGAAGTACTTAAACGCTTCGATAACTGTAAATGAGAATGACAGAAATATTTATATTAATTAGGGGTGAACTTACTAGAATGACTGCATTATTTATATTAATTAAGGGTGAACTTTCTAGAATGACAACATTATTTATATTAATGAGGGGTGAACTTTCTGTAATGACAGCAATAATTATAGGGATGAACTTTCTTGAATGACAGCAATATTCATATTAATTAGGGATGAACTTTCTAGAATTACAATAATATTTAAAATAATTATTGGTGATCTTCCAAAAATAACAATTAGATATTTTTTTAAAATAATGACAACAAATATGCGACTGGGCGAGCATTATTCATAAAAAAGATTAATTCAGAATCAGTACTACATAGAATTCAACTCAGCGGCGAAATAAAAACAAACTGGGTACACATACCATCTTCTTGGTCCTCTGGAGAGTGAAATACATGGGAAAATATTATTTTTAGTTTCTGCTGAACGATTTAACATGTAACAAAACAGCTGCAGGATTTAAAATTTAACAAAACTGCTGCAAAATTTAACATGTAACGAAACGGCTGCTGAATATTACATTGAACAACAAATCGAAAGGCCGTATGAAAACAGTTTCGCATTTCGCAGTTTACTTTATCAAACTTGCACCGAATCAGTCACACAACAGTGCAAGCTCTATTCACCACTATTTTACTTTCACTTCATCCTTTAGCTTGTTTTCCGTCAGTGAAATCAATATGTCATTCGTTAGGTCTATGATGACTTAATCAATCAGAACAAAATGGAAAACAAACAGAAACGTATTTACCGTACCATCGAAGGGTGGGGGTTCTGTCGATCAGAGAGTGAACAAAATTGCATCTATAGGTATTTTTTTTTATTCATTACTGGTTTTGTGTATTTATTTTTTAAAAGCTATAAATATTGTATAGATTGTTGGAATTGTGTTGGTTTATATTATACTGAATCCTCCCAACTCTGACTCATGTTCGAGAAACAAGACGACTGGGCAGAGTGCTGACCACACTATCCCTTCGTATTGTAACAGATCTTCTACATCATCTGCACCGTGTGGCTTGGGCACCAACGGGGAAAGACTCTACACACACACACACACACACATATATATATATATATATATATATATATATATATATATATATATATATATATATATATATATATATATATATACATATACATATACATACAGATACGTATACGTATACGTATACGTATACGTATACATATACATATACATATACATATACATATACATGCACATGCACATGCACATGCACATGCACATGCACATGCACATGCACATGCACATGCACATGCACATACACATACACATACACATACACATACACATACACATACACATACACATACACATACACATACACATACACATACACATACACATACACATACACATATACATATACATATACAAATACATATACGTATACGTATACGTATACGTATGCGTATGCATATGCGTATGCATATGCATATATATGTATATGTCGGACAGAGACGTTCTGATATAAAAACGTGGCGCTAAAGCAACTAGAAACTACCACTTAAGGTTTGCTTTCTCTTGTCTTCATTCTGAAAGTGACGGTCGGGGAAGGTCAAGTGGGGGACGTAAAACTTCTTTATCGACTTGTCGCTGGGAATTGATCGGGGCTCTGTTGTGTCAGATGGAAAAACATCATTGATCATTTTTACACAGTTGGTCATTTGTACACAGTTGGCAATTTATACACAATTGGTCATTTTACAAATTTGGTCATTTTTACACAGTTGGTCATTTTACACATTTGGTCATTTTTTACACAGTTGGTCGTTTTAACACAGTTGGTCATTTTTACATAGTTGGTCATTTTTACACAGTTGATGGTTTTGACACAGTTGGTCATTTTACACATTTGGTCATTTTTACACAACTGGTCGTTTTTACACAACTGGTCGTTTTTACTCCAAACATTTGGAACATTACAAGACACTAATGTAAAAATATGGGGTACGACCGAGTCTTGCTGGAGCTCATAGGGGTATACTCAGGCAATCAATTTGGTCACTCGCACAAGGTAATCAATTTGGTCACTCGCACAAGGTAATCAATTTGGTCACTCGCACAAGGTAATCAATTTGGTCACTCGCACAAGGTAATCAATTTGGTCACTCGCACAAGGTAATCAATTTGGTCACTCGCACAAGGTAATCAATTTGGTCACTCGCACAAGGTAATCAATTTGGTCACTCGCACAAGGTAATCAATTTGGTCACTCGCACAAGGTAATCAATTTGGTCACTCGCACAAGGTAATCAATTTGGTCACTCGCACAAGGTAATCAATTTGGTCACTCGCACAAGGTAATCAATTTGGTCACTCGCACAAGGTAATCAATTTGGTCACTCGCACAAGGTAATCAATTTGGTCACTCGCACAAGGTAATCAATTTGGTCACTCGCACAAGGTAATCAATTTGGTCACTCGCACAAGGTAATCAATTTGGTCACTCGCACAAGGTAATCAATTTGGTCACTCGCACAAGGTAATCAATTTGGTCACTCGCACAAGGTAATCAATTTGGTCACTCGCACAAGGTAATCAATTTGGTCACTCGCACAAGGTAATCAATTTGGTCACTCGCACAAGGTAATCAATTTGGTCACTCGCACAAGGTAATCAATTTGGTCACTCGCACAAGGTAATCAATTTGGTCACTCGCACAAGGTAATCAATTTGGTCACTCGCACAAGGTAATCAATTTGGTCACTCGCACAAGGTAATCAATTTGGTCACTCGCACAAGGTAATCAATTTGGTCACTCGCACAAGGTAATCAATTTGGTCACTCGCACAAGGTAATCAATTTGGTCACTCGCACAAGGTAATCAATTTGGTCACTCGCACAAGGTAATCAATTTGGTCACTCGCACAAGGTAATCAATTTGGTCACTCGCACAAGGTAATCAAATCTCTTGGTCACTCGCACAAGGTAATCAAATCTCTTGGTCACTCGCACAAGGTAATCAAATCTCTTGGTCACTCGCACAAGGTAATCAATTTGGTCACTCGCACAAGGTAATCAAATCTCTTGGTCACTCGCACAAGGTAATCAATTTGGTCACTCGCACAAGGTAATCAAATCTCTTGGTCACTCGCACAAGGTAATCAATTTGGTCACTCGCACAAGGTAATCAAATCTCTTGGTCACTCGCACAAGGTAATCAAATCTCTTGGTCACTCGCACAAGGTAATCAAATCTCTTGGTCACTCGCACAAGGTAATCAAATCTCTTGGTCACTCGCACAAGGTAATCAATTTGGTCACTCGCACAAGGTAATCAAATCTCTTGGTCACTCGCACAAGGTAATCAAATCTCTTGGTCACTCGCACAAGGTAATCAAATCTCTTGGTCACTCGCACAAGGTAATCAAATCTCTTGGTCACTCGCACAAGGTAATCAAATCTCTTGGTCACTCGCACAAGGTAATCAAATCTCTTGGTCACTCGCACAAGGTAATCAAATCTCTTGGTCACTCGCACAAGGTAATCAAATCTCTTGGTCACTCGCACAAGGTAATCAAATCTCTTGGTCACTCGCACAAGGTAATCAAATCTCTTGGTCACTCGCACAAGGTAATCAAATCTCTTGGTCACTCGCACAAGGTAATCAAATCTCTTGGTCACTCGCACAAGGTAATCAAATCTCTTGGTCACTCGCACAAGGTAACCAAATCTCTTGGTCACTCGCACAAGGTAATCAATTTGGTCACTCGCACAAGGTAATCAAATCTCTTGGTCACTCGGACAAGGTAATCAATTTGGTCACTCGCACAAGGTAATCAATTTGGTCACTCGCACAAGGTAATCAATTTGGTCACTCGCACAAGGTAATCAAATCTCTTGGTCACTCGCACAAGGTAATCAATTTGGTCACTCGCACAAGGTAATCAATTTGGTCACTCGCACAAGGTAATCAAATCTCTTGGTCACTCGCACAAGGTAATCAATTTGGTCACTCGCACAAGGTAATCAAATCTCTTGGTCACTCGCACAAGGTAATCAATTTGGTCACTCGCACAAGGTAATCAAATCTCTTGGTCACTCGCACAAGGTAATCAAATCTTTTGGTCACTCGCACAAGGTAATCAATTTGGTCACTCGCACAAGGTAATCAAATCTCTTTGTCCCTGGTCAAGTACAGGGGGTTGTGTGTAAGCAAGCATAAACTCTACTGTGTGTACAGGTCAAATACACGTTGTAGACTGGTCTAAAGTTACAAGTTTTTTATATTTTTTTTACTTACGAGGAATATTCTTGTAATGTACATTGGCAACCTTATTCAAATAAATTTGACATAAACATGGAACATTTGGGAAACTTCTGCATTTAAATTTGACACAAACGTGGAACATTTGATAACCTTCTGCATGTAAATTTGGCACAAACATGGAACATTTGACAACCTTCTGCATGTAAATTTGACACAAACATGGAACATTTGGGAACTTCTGATTTATATTTGGACCAGTTGCGGAACTAGAAAAAAATTGCCACCCAGCAAAAAAAATTTTAGGCCCCCCCATATATATATATATATATATATATATATATATATATATATATATATATATATATATATATATATATATATATATATATATATATATATATATATATATATATATATATATATGTATATATATATATATATATATGTATATATATATATATATATATATATATATATATATATATATATATATATATATATATATATATATATATATATATATATATATATATATTCATTGCTGGCCTGTTTGGGATCTTGAGAATAAAAAATTTTTTTTTCAATTAAAACAAATTACTATGTCATGTCTTGTGTCTAAGTGCATTAGTGTGTTTTGAAAAATCAATTTCATTTTATCTGCTATAGGTTCTCTTAACGTCTATCTGGCCAAAAGAATATAAAACATGAAATCTTTGTGGAAGTAATGGTGTCTCGTGTTATGATTATTTTTATGGGTTTTTTTTTTGTATTTATATTATTAATTTTAAATACATTTCCTTTTTATACAAGGTCAATCTTTAGTAAGTACTTTATGAAAAAATATTTATTAAAAGAAGTAATTGCTTTTTATTTTGTTAAGTACAAAAAAATCTATTAATAGGAGATTATGAGCACCCCCAATTTGACTATTAAAAAAGGGGAAATAAGTCATGGGAGTGGTTTGAACGTTTGCTTATCTTTGATAAGTTTTATTGTAGGAGAGGGAGGACTTTGCTTTCACAGTGGTTTAAAAACAAAGGGGAAAAATATACAACAGCGTGGGGATGGTGTCTATAGAATAAAGATAATCAAACCGCAGCTATGGTAATCGTTTTACAAAACAAACATTAAGTCAAAAATTGCAGGAAAATTTTATTTTTTTAACTATAATAAAAACTATGGGGTCGACCGGGGGTCCCTAAATGGCGTGACCCCCCCCCCCCCCCCCCCGCATTGCGGGGTCTGGCAGCACTGCAGTTCCGCCCCTGGTTTGGGCACAAACATGGAACATTTGGAAACTTCTGATTGAAATGAGACATCAACAACGTGTATAAACTACCGGACACCAACAAGGAGCATGAACTAACGGACACCAACAACATGTATGAACTAACGGACACCAACAAGGGGCATGAACTAACGGACACCAACAAGGGGCATGAACTAACGGACACCAACAACATGTATGAACTACCGGACGCTGCGCCACTGTTAGGTCTTGAAAATTCCACTTCCTGAAAGTGAGCGCCAGGGTAATTCTGCTGAACTCTAGCATCCGGAGACAGGTCTCTAAAATTGTATTGACCTTCGGGAATGACGGCACCCGCTGAAAGTTTGATATTTACAAACTGTTATTGATATCTCTTTGAAAACCAAGTCTCACTCGGCTAACTCTCAGATGTGAAATTGGTTTAATCTAATAAGATGTGAAATTAGTTTAATCTAATTAGATGTCAAATTGGTTTAATCTAATTAGATGTGAGATTGGTTTAATCTAATCAGATGTGAAAATATTTTAATCTAATTAGATGTAAAATTAGTTTAATCTAATTAGATGTGAAATTAGTATATAAAAATGATTTGAAACGCCAGGGATCAGCCAACTGACGGTGTAGACTTTAACAGATACTTGACTATTACAGATACTTGACTATTACAGATACTTGACTATAACAGATACATGACTTTAACAGATCGGCAACTACCGTTTGGGGTTTAAAGCAAACGAGCCGACCCGCGGCGATACGCCGCTAACGCCGCTATTTAGTTGTTTTATTTTCTACTTTTCAGCAATTCATAATTTGTGAATTCGAAGTACCAAAGCTGCCACTGAAAATATTTGCTTTATAACACTATCAGTAGCTCGTTAAGGACGATACCCCCCCCCTCCTTTCCCCAACCCCTACCCCACACCTCGACCCCCCCCCCCCCGCGTGAAAGTAAACTCCTCTTAGTTACCTCCCCTAAGTTTAAAATCGTTTCAAACTAAATTATCTGCCCCTAATAGCCGTCACTAAACCCGGCTCTACGATTGTAAACATTTAGCGTGAACCACAGCTCACCAGACCATGTAGGAGTGGGGGTGGTAGGGAGCGCGCTTACAGCTTGGTGTTTTCTATCGTCTCCAAGAAGAGAATTATATATATAGATACTTTATCCGTCTATAGCATTCTTAATGAGCGAACGGTAGCAAAAAAATAATAATAAAGTACAACCGTAAACACTTAAATAGTTAATTACTATTTTGACTTCGTAACTAATCAAAACTATCAAGCAAAAAAATTCAGCATAGGTACGTGTCGTGGTATAAATTGGAACTAGTATTGAATGACTTGACGGAATGTATGTATGAATTGACGGAATGTATGTATGACTTGACGGAATGTATGTATGACTTGACGGAATGTATGTATGACTTAACGGAATGTATGTATGACTTGACGGAATGTATGTATGACTTGATGTAATGTATGTATGACTTGACGGAATGTATGTATGACTTGACGGAATGTATGTATGACTTGACGGAATGTATGTATGACTTGACGGAATGTATGTATGACTTGACGGAATGTATGTGCGAGTTATATTATAACAATAATTAGATAAAACATCCTAAGGGAGGAAATTATTTTTTTCTTAAAAGAGAGACTTCAGTAAATACAAAGAAAGAACTTAGTAAGAGTTTGTGGAATTAATGGCCGCAGTCTATTTCCCAGTCGGTCAGTGTTTTTTTTTTCGCATATTTTTAAAATGTGATTAAAAAGTGTCTACAACAAAAGCGCTTTAACACCAGCCAATGGGTTATACTCGGGTCATATTTTGAAGACAATGGGTTATACTTGGGTCATATTTAACAGAAAATAGGTTATACTCAGATCGTACTTTGCAGTTTTCCAATAAAAAACAAGTCCCTCCTAACCCATCCCAAAACACAATACATAAGTCCCGTCCCATGTAATACACTCTTACAAGATGGTTGAGAGAGCTAAAGATAAAAGTAGAAGCCAAAAAGGACCTTGAAGTGCTTTGAAGTAGCTCTTGTACTCAGTGCTGTCCGTCGTATATCTCCGGTCACTCGTAGTTGGACCACCGTCAGTTTTACTGGAGTCTACGGAAGTTTCCATGGGGCCCACTGGAGGTTGAAAAGTTCAAAAGTTGAATCAAGGTACACGTTGTACGCTGGACTACAACAAAGGCAGAGGGTAGAGATGGGAACAGAGTATCTACCTACTCATTTCCCCCTTGATGAGTTACCCCCTCACCCCTGTCAGTTACCCCCTCACCCCTGTCAGTTACCCCCTCACCCCTGTCAGTTACCCCCCACCCCCAACACACATACACACAAATGATAGTAAGTCATTACCTAAATGTCGATCACAAATGGACCCTGAACTTTATCTTTACATTAAATTTACCGTTGGTTGAAAGGGTAATTTTAGTGTTAAGATTAGGGCTAATTTTAAGGTTAGGGTTAGGGTTTAGGTCGTTAGTGAAGGACAAGTGAAAGCCGAAAAATGCGATTTTATCTTAATGTGCTCGACCATTATGGTAGGGGGGGATAATGACCGGGGGGTGGGGGGGGGGGGGCTTATGTACAGGAGGAAATTGCCTTGGGGTGTTAAAGGACGGAGGTTTATTAGCTTGAGAACTAATTGACAAAGGGTAGTTACAATAGGGGCTAATTGACAAAGGGTATTTACCATAGGGGCTAATTGACAAAGTGTAATTACCATAGGGGCTAATTGACAAAGGTAATTACAATAGGGGCTAACTGACAAAGGGTAATTACCATGGGCTCCTGCTCTCAATCTCAAGGCGTCTATCAGATGTTGTAATGTTTGGTCATCTATTTGACCCGCTGAATGTTTGGGAGTATGAAAGCATTAGCCGTAATAACAACAAACAGCCAACTATGTGATTGTGTCGTCTATAGAGATAAATCTCTATTGGTTACATAGGTTTAAACATATTAAGTACTTTTAAAGTTACAAAGTTAGAAATAGTAAGGGCGATAAGAAGTGTGAAAGATAGAAAACCAGCTTGCCCAGGCGACATTCCATTAGAGGAGCTTAAAGCAGAACCAGCGATATCCGTGAATATATAACAACCTCTGCTACAGCAGATTTGGGAAGATGGCAGGAAACTGGGCCATGTTGCAAAAATACTAAAGAAAGTAGACCTGTTGCAATGCAACAACTGGAGAGTGATAACCCTTCCCATAGTCCCAAGTAGGTTCTTACAAGAATCACCCCAGCGATATTTAGAGATTACTTGTACAGAAAACTTGAAGTACAACCGCAAACACTTAAATAGTGAATTACTATTTTAACTTCGTAATTAATCAAAACTATCAAGCAAAAAAATTCAGCATAGGTACGTGTCGTGGTGTAAATTGGAACTAGTATTGAATGACTTGACGGAATGTATGACTTGACGGAATGTATGTATGACTTGACGGAATGTATGTATGACTTGACGGAATGTATGTATGACTTGACGGAATGTATGTATGACTTGACGGAATGTATGTATGACTTGATGTAATGTATGTATGACTTGACGGAATGTATGTATGACTTGACGGAATGTATGTATGACTTGACGGAATATATGTATAACTTGACGGAATATATGTTTGACTTGACGGAATGTATGTATGAATTGACGGAATGTAAGTATGACTTGATGTAATGTATGTATGACTTGACGGAATGTATGTATGACTTGACGGAATGTATGTATGACTTGACGGAATGTATGTATACATGAAGTACATATCTTACTTCTGGATCCGCCGGCTTCAAAGAAACTTGAATTGATTGGTACAGATTCGCTGTAATTTCTGCTGCGCTCTAGGCGATATATAAGGATATATATATATATATATATATATATATATATATATATATATATATATATATATATATATATATATATATATATATATATATATATATATATTTATTTATTTATTTATTTATTTATTTATTTATTTATTTATTTTTTTATTTACAAGAATAATTAGATAAAACATCCTAAGAGAGGAAATTATTTTTTTCTTAAAAGAGAGACTTTAGTAAATACAAAGAAAGAACTTAGTGAGACTTTGTGGAATTAATGGCCCCAGTCTTTTTACCAGTCAGTGTTTTTTTTCGCCGCTTTTTAAAATGTGATTAAAAAGTGTCTACGACAAAAGCGCGAAATGATGTCCTCAATAAAAATCAATATTAAGACCACTCTACTCTTTTCACACGCCTCCACAAAATTTACAAAGGAAAACACCATATTGTCTTTGACGTTTCTGATTGTACTAACAAATAAACCGGGAGTGATCTCCCCTAAATTTTCTCGAATATTTTTATATAAAATAACAGGGGATGGGAACTCGGGCTATAGACATGATTTTTAATCCATTTTAAATACTTAAAGTTTTAAAAATAGAATAAAATCTCGTAGACAAAAGAATTGCACACCAAGTGAACGCAAAATAAAAAAAGTGCATAATAGTGCGCAATATTATTCGTACTTTAAAAATTTACATTAGTTTTTTGAGAAATCGGAAGTAGCGTAAATTACTACTTCTGGTCAATGGAAATTACTCAAAATTTGACAGAAGGTAGAGAATTAGATCTATTACTTACATGTGAAATTTCATTTATCTATCTGAAATAGTACTAAAGTTATAGGCTTTTTAAAATTTCAAAGTAGAAAAAGTACCACTTCCGACTATCGGAAATCGCTCAAAAGTTGACACGGATCTACTATTTTGATAAAATACTTATATATGAAATTTCATCAACCTAGCTGTAACGGTACTCAAGTTATCGTGTTTACACACGGACAGACAGACTGACAGACTGACACATACGGACAGAATTGCAAAGCCCAGTTTTTCAGACTGGATTACGCATAAAACCTCTTAATTTTGATAAATCTGGATTGATAATTTTTGCCCGATTAAAATAAGTCCTCTATACTTCGGAATGTGATGAAGTACTGAGTTGTAATACGGTGAAAATTGCTAAAATTTCAAGTGATTTTTGTGCACGATTACAATACTTTCTCTATACTTCGTATATACGAGAAAGTAAATATTGCAACTTTTCCCCGTTCTGATTGTATGTAAGCCCATCCCTTTTTATTGTCTGATGTGCTTCGTTAAGGCTACATCCGCGAAACGCTTACAATAGACTTAAAACGTGATATATATATATATTGATTGGTGTGTGATCAGTCGCCTTAACACCAGCCAATGGGTTATACTCGGGTCATATTTTGAAGACAATGGGTTATACTCGGGTCATATTTTGAAGACAATGGGTTATACTCGGGTCATATTTTGAAGACAATGGGTTATACTCGGGTCATATTTTGAAGACAATGGGTTATACTTGGGTCATATTTTGAAGACAAACGAGTTATACTTGGGTCATATTTGACAGAAAATAATTATCATTAAAAAAAATTTTAAAAACCCACGTTTTCATATTTGTCATAAGCAGTAAGCCAGAAGAGGGAAAGTGCCGAACCTTGTTTTTATCAAATTACAATTACTAGGTGACGTCCCTTTTTTGTACAAATAAATATGAGTCTAAAATGATCAATAAAATTTTTCCATGGATCAATTTAGTAATAATAATAATTGAATATTGTATTGTCATCGGAAACAAAGCTTCCCGGAAAAATTCAGCGCGCTAGCTAACTGGGAAGTGCCCGAGATTTCGATCGCAAGATTTGATGGAAAGACAAACAAACAGACGCGAAAGCAGGTTAAAGAAAACGTGGGAATAGGTTATACTCAGATCGTACTTTGCAGTTTTCCAATAAAAAATAAGTCCCTCCTAACCCATCCCAAAACACAATACATAAGTCCCGTCCCATGTAATACACTCTTACAAGATGGTTGAGAGAGCTAAAGATAAAAGTAAAAGCTAAAAAGGACCTTGAAGTGCTTTGAAGTAGCTCTTGTACTCTGTGTTGCCCGTCGTATATCTCCGGTCACTCGTAGTTGGACCACCGGGGGGCTCTGTTTTACTGGGGTCTATGAAAGTTTCCATGGGGCCCGCTGGAGGTTGAAAAGTTCAAAAGTTGAATCAAGGTACACGTTGTACGCTGGACTACAACAAAGGCAGAGGGTAGAGATGGGAACAGAGTATCTCCCTACTCATTTCCCCCTTGATGAGTTACCCCCTCACCCCTGTCAGTTACCCCCCACCCCCAACACACATACACACAAATGATAGTAAGTCATTACCTAAATGTCGATCACAAATGGACCCTGAACCATATCTTTACATTCCTCTTACCGTTGGATGGAAGGGTAATTTTAGTGTTAAGATTAGAGCTAAATTTAAGGTTAGGGTTAGGGTTTAGGTCGTTAGTGAAGGACAAGTGAAAGCCGAAAAATGCGATTTTATCTTAATCTACCCGACCATTACGGTAGGGGGGGGGGGTAAAGACCGGGGGATGGGGGGCTTATGTACGGGAGGGAATTGCCTTGGGGTGTTAAATGCCGTAGGTTAATTAGCTTGAGAGCTAATTGACAAAGGGTAATTACCATAGGGGCTAATTGACAAAAGGTAATTACCATAGGGGCTAATTGACAAAGTGTAATTACCATAGGGGCTAATTGACAAAGTGTAATTACCATAGGGGCTAATTGACAAAGTGTAATTACCATAGGGGCTAATTGACAACGGGTAATTACCATGGGCTCCTGCTCTCCATCTCTGGGCGTCCATCAGATGTTGTAATGTTTGGTCATCTATTTGACCCGCTGAATGTTTGGGAGTATTAAAGCATTAGCCGTAATAACAACAAACAGCCAACTATGTGATTGTGTCGTCTATAGAGATAAATCCCTATTGGTTACATAGGTTTAAACGGTGACAGGACAAATGATCTCAGGACAAATGATCTCAGACAAAATATCTCAGACAAAATATCTCACGGACAAATTATCCCAGGACAAATGATCTCAGGACAAATGATCTCAAGCACAATTGATCTAACGGACAAAAGATACCAGGACAAAATATATCAGTTTTAAATACCTTTCCTTATTTTTCCCAAAGGAAAATATTGATCACTCCTGTTATTATTGCATCTTATCAACCCTTCCTTTAGATCAACCCTGCTATTATTGCATCTTTTCTAACCTTCCTTCCTTAACTTCCAAATTTCAACGATGAATAATTCAAAGTAAATGTCAAACTAAACAAGGACCTTGTATTTGAGTGTAGAGGTCTCTTAGCCCGCTGGATCCTGCTCTCAATCTCACGGCGTCTATCAGATGTTGTAATGTCTGATCATCTATTTGACCCGCTGAATGTTTGGGAGTATGAAACCATTAGCCGTAATAACAACAAACAGCCAACTATGTGATTGTGTCGTCTATAGAGATAAATCTCTATTGGTTACATAGGTTTAAACTTATTAAGTATTTTTAAAGTGACAAAGTTAGAAATAGTAAGGGCGATAAGAAGTGTGAAAGATAGAAAACCAGCTTGCCCAGGCGACATTCCATTAGAGGAGCTTAAAGCAGAACCAGCGATATCCGTGAATATATTACAACCTCTGCTACTGCAGATTTGGGAAGATGGCAGGAAACTGGGCCACGTTGCAAAAATACTAAAGAAAGTAGACCTGTTGCAATGCAACAACTGGAGATTGATAACCCTTCCCATAGTCCCAAGTAGGTTCTTACAAGAATCATCCTAGCGATACTTAGAAATTGTACAGAAAACTTGACTAGTATAGGCTTGTTTTCGAAAGGATAGGCCATGCACCTATGACACTCTCTACGCATCTTTGTTGAACAGTCTCTAGAGTGGCAATCAACCCTATACAGGATATTCCTGATGTTAATTGACCGGATCATGCAACAGACTACAAACACAGAAAGAAGAACCCAGTGGAAAATCACCAAAAGGCTGGGGAACTTCGGTTTTGTGGTTGTTTGTCTATACCAGAGTTAATAACATGCTCAAACCAGGCTGAATCGATCACCCTAAGAAGCCTTTGAAGTCGGACTCAAAATCGATCGAAACAAAGCGGTGTTCATCAGAGATTAGCAACAACTAGGACCATATATCCAAGAGGCGAAGACATACGAGAGACTAACAACGTCAGCAACAACCAGGACCATACATCCAAGAGACATACGGGAGACTAACAACGTCAGCAACAACCAGGACCATACATCCAAGAAACATACGAGAGACTAGCAACGTCAGCAACAACCAGGACCATACATCCAAGATGCGAGAGACTAACAACGTCAGCAACAACCAGGACCATACATCCAAGAGACGAGAGACTAACAACGTCAGCAACAACCAGGACCATACATCCAAGAGACATACGGGAGACTAACAACGTCAGCAACAACCAGGACCATACATCCAAGATGCGAGAGACTAACAACGTCAGCAACAACCAGGACCATACATCCAAGATGCGAGAGACTAACAACGTCAGCAACAACCAGGACCATACATATAATAGACATACGAGAGATTAACAACGTCAGCAACAACCAGGACCATACATCCAAGAGACATACGAGAGACTAACAACGTCAGCAACAACCAGGACCATACATCCAAGAGACATACGGGAGACTAACAACGTCAGCAACAACCAGGACCATACATCCAAGAGACGAGAGACTAACAACGTCAGCAACAACCAGGACCATACATCCAAGAGACATACGAGAGACTAACAACGTCAGCAACAACCAGGACCATACATCCAAGAGACATACGAGAGATTAACAACATTAGCAACAACCAGGACCATACATCCAAGAGGCGAAGACATACGAGAGACTAACAACGTCAGCAACAACCAGGACCATACATCCAAGAGACGAGAGACTAACAACGTCAGCAACAACCAGGACCATACATCCAAGAGACGAGAGACTAACAACGTCAGCAACAACCAGGACCATACATCCAAGATGCGAGAGACTAACGTCAGCAACAACCAGGACCATACATCCAAGAGACGAGAGACTAACAACGTCAGCAACAACCAGGACCATACTTCCAAGAGACATACGAGAGACTAACAACGTCAGCAACAACCAGGACCATACATCCAAGAGACATACGAGAGACTAACAACGTCAGCAACAACCAGGACCATACATCCAAGAGACATACGAGAGACTAACAACGTCAGCAACAACCAGGACCATACATCCAAGAGACATACGAGAGATTAACAACATTAGCAACAACCAGGACCATACATCAAAGAAACATACGAGAGACTAACAACGTCAGCAACAACCAGGACCATACATCCAAGAGACATACGAGAGATTAACAACGTCAGCAACAACCAGGACCATACATCCAAGAGACGAGAGACTAACAACGTCAGCAACAACCAGGACCATACATCCAAGAGACGAGAGACTAACAACGTCAGCAACAACCAGGACCATACATCCAAGAAACATACGAGAGATTAACAACGTCAGCAACAACCAGGACCATACATCAAAGAAACATACGAGAGATTAACAACGTCAGCAACAACCAGGACCATACATCCAAG